AGTGATTATGGTGCATTATAGTGATGGTTCCAGGAGTCCCCTGATGCTGTCCCACAGTAAATTGTCAAACTGTTTCGCACTTACTTGTGTCTCCTCTCCTTACATTAAAAGAACACTATACTTCCTGTGTGTCTAATTAGAGTATGTTACACAGCTGAAGAGACTTGCGTCCATCAAGTTCAGCCTTCCTCACATTTGTTTTTTTGCTCTTGTTTCAAAATAAGGCGGTCCCCCCAGTTTAAAGCAGTTCCAATTTTGCACCAAACTAGGATAACAAATTCCCTCTTGGCCCCAGAATGGCAGTCAGATTTATCCTTGGATCAAGAAGCTATTGCCATACATTGAAAAATTATATCCCTGAATATTCTGTTTTTGCAAGTATGCATCTAGTTGCTGTTTGAACATCTGTATTGATTCTGATAAAACCACTTCTTCAGGCAGAGAATTCCACATCCTTATTGTTCTTACAGTCTAAACGCATGACCTCGTGTCCTATGTAAAGTCCGATTTGTGCCCATCATGTGGATAAAAAGTGGTTTTACTTACCTTTTTCCAGCACAGAGGATCTTTGAACACTGCTTGCCTCTCTGCGTCCTGTGACATCATTGAGGAGGCAAGCCTTCCTCCAGTGAGGGGCCAATCCAACTCTGGGACCTGAAGCACATGCACAGCTAGTGCCACAAAATGCATTCAAAGCTTCTCGTAGGAAATCACTAAATATAGTTCTATGAGCCGCAGGATCACATCACATGACGTTGCTAAAAAACTGCATTATTTTACATTGCAGGATTAAAATGACAGTGCCCCTGCACACAGACCACTTCACTGAGATGATGTGGTCTGGGTGACTTCATTTTTCTTTTAATGTGGAAAGTCAAAAATTTGCATTAATGACTTCAATTTCACCCATCAATGGACTTCATTGTCTGGGAGCATCAGCTGACACTCACAATTAATTAAATGTAAACAGAGACAAAATTGACATATATAGTGCGGAAGGTGAACTTCAGCTGTAGATATATCATAGAAGAGCCGCCTGACCAGAAGTGCCAGGTAACCTTTAAATAACTTATTCTAAAGTGGTGAAAATTTAAACATTTGAATGTCATTGGTTATTTGATGAATAAACCACAGAGAACTGTTTTGAGTCTTTAACAAAAATCCAATATTTAGACAAAATAAAATATTTTGGGCTACATTTTGTGCTTAGGTAGTCTGTTACCTACCACTGTTAATGGAAGGGAATTAACAATACAGACAACTGCAGTGGTTATGGTGCAATGAGTCCCCTGGCATCTGTCCACTGTTAAAGGCACACTCCTACCACACAACAACTTAAGCTCTTTTAAGTTATGGTGCAAGAGTATCTAGGCCTCTCTCTGCACTGCAGTATGAGGAAAGTTTAGCTGGGTGCCCAGTGAGAGAAATAGTACATAATTATTTCTATCACTAGGTGACCAATTATAGGCTGAGAGCACGGAAACTCCTTCACCGTAACAACTTAAATTGTTAGGGTGTTGGGAGTGTTCCTTTAAAGGTCAAATTGTCTATGAATGGTTTTACACTGATCGGGGTGCCAAGGTTTGCCCTCCCCTCCTTCACTGATATCACTAAAGCGTAGGTTCCTTTTATGAATTAGCAATATCAATTTGGGACAGAATTCACTGGCTAAGAGTGTCTGCTGTGGTACATACTAATTTGGAAGTGAGAGCTTCTGCTTTAGCAATGCATGTAAAAGAGGGTTTGGTTTGAAAGCATCCAGAAGACACAGGTGAGTAACAAGGTGTCCAAAGACATTCTTAACCGTGAGATGGTTCCAGAGGACTCTTGGTACCATAACAACAATGGGCTACAGTGCTTGTGGTGCTTAAACTGACCCTTTAATAAACAACAAGAAGAAACAGATTATTTAATGAAGGCACTTTTATAGGAGTTCATCTTAAAGAAACACTCTAAACACCATAACCACTACAGAACACTGCACACGTAAAGTGCAAGGAGTACCCTGGCACCCTCCTGGAGTAAGTAGTATAACTGTTTAAGAACAGTTCGACAAATGACCTGGGGTATGTTAGGCACCCACTATGGCCACTGAGCCAAGCCTGGCCGTGCAGGGCCAGGCATGTGGTCTGAAAGAGCTTAACTGACACGATCAGTCAATGATGCCAAAGGAAGCTCCTAAGAAGAGGCTTCTGGTAGCATGGAAGGTGGCGACAGGCTCTCACCAGACCACAGCTAAGATGTCAAACCATTCTTAACTTCTGTCAGTGGGCAGGCTTACAAAAATTGCTTATCTAATAAAAACCGGTTCCTGTTCTGGCTAACGGACAAATGCATGGAAGCTTTGTCTTACCCAGCATGCTTTGTGATTGGTCTCGAAAGCAAGGAATTTTTCCCTGCAGCAAGTTTGCAGTAACTATTTAAAAAAAATGTCTTATTCTACATACATCGCTAGCACAATGTATCAACATAATTAACTGTGCCATTTTGCATAGTCTCTCAAAAACATAATACAAGAACTTCTAATCTGGCAAATGTAAAGATATCTACAGCTTTTTGGACGAAGAACCCTCCAAAAACTGGTTTGCCAACTTTGCATTACTAGGCCGCTATCAATATATTAATTTCACATAAACAATTTCCATGATGCAATGCTGTTTGCCTGGTTCAGCATCATGGGAAACATTATCCACAATAGCTTCTATAAAAAGATTATATATATCAATGAAAATATATTATATACTGTAGCCTAAAGTTTCTAATAAATGAAAGGTGGGGGGGACCGCTATTACAAAAATTAGTGTCAGAATATATTGACTTTAAAATTTCTTCAGGAGGTTTAAAAAAAAAAAAAGTAGAATGCTTGAAACCAGAGATCTTGTGTAATATATCCTGGGGTTTGCCCTACGGTCAGAGTAATGGAAGCTGTCCCAACAAGCAACTCGGCTTGCAATGTCAGGCTGATCACTAGGCTAAATTTCATAGCCTCACTTAACTAATCTTTAGCAGGCAGAGCTGGTTCTACCTAAATGAATAAATAAGATTACTCAGACAGACACTCCTAGTGAGTCATAGCAGATATTTCTTACAACAGACTGCAGACTTCAATGCTTTGCTGCAATGGTACAATATTGCAAATGATTCCAATGCAAATGTGTTGATGCAAAACTCCAAATGCAACCACCTACAGAAACCCCTATATAGTTTAACTGTGACTGTAGCCAGTAGTCTTGGACAATCAGCAGTTAACTCTCCAGTGATAGTTATCTACAAGTCCCAACATGGTCCCAAAAGAATAAGTGTACCTGTGTTCTCCATGTCATGTAGTTTTACAAATGAGGTGCTGTACAAGTTGGCTACTAGTGATCTATAGAATATATCTAGAATTCTAGATGGTTAAACTAACCAGCTAAAACAACACAGAAAAGGCTAAAAACAAATAGGATAAGACAATAAGAATTCTGACATATTGTATTATTTCAGCTGTGTATTTTACATACACATTAAGGATACATTCGTGTTTCATTAATATACTGAGCCACAATGACAGCAGTGTTTTCTATTTTGACATGCTTTGTTGGCTGTAAGCACAACATGCATGTACAAAATGTTACAACAGTAAACATCTCAAAGCCTTAGACAGGAGATACATTTTATGTATTGCTGGTGATGATCTATATGGTTTGCAGACAAGGGATCACCAAATGTACATCACTCACCTTATGTAAGGGCTTGCTGCTGCCAGGATGTTCCTCTGCACAGGGATCTCCTGCTCCTCCAAAACTAACAGAGCATCACAGAAGTCAGACTCTTCCCTGAAAGCCCCCAATGCTCTCAGGAGCTTGGCAGCATGCTGAGGGTCAGATACTATGGTGAGGTTGGTGGGCTCTGTCATGGTTGGTCTGGGTGACTATTTACAGAATGGGGTTGGTAGGGGGTGCTGTATTACCAAGGGACCTGCATGCAAGATCTACTGCAGGAGGAGTGCAGGGGAACCTCTAAACTTGGAGAAGACTTGAATGTGGGAATGGCTGAGGGTACTGAGAGTTGCAGTAAGAGGTAGTGCCTGTAGAGGAGTTTCATGGAAGAAGGGGGTGGAGTTTTTTTTCAGTTTGCCTAAAGATGCAGCAATGGGGCTGACATGTACACTGTGAGGTCTGTCTCCACGCCTCTCACAGAAACTCAGTGGCCCGCCTCAGCCTCCTCTGACGTCATCACCTAGCGCCTCGCACCACGTGTCAAAACACAACCTGCCCCCAGCACAACACGTGCGTCACAGTCCCAGTGCCAGGGCCAGGGCCAGGGATGAGATTGGAGGGGGATGGCACTGAGGGCACAGGCTGAGCCCGTGAGAGCACAGTAAACCCCTCTTATCGGCTGGGTAATTTTTTGTGGTTTATTCCCTGCTATTTATCACAAGCTTGTGACCTTCTACCATACCAGGAGATTAGTGTGTACTTTATTGCAGTCTGACCAATGAGGCTCTGTTTCCTTGATTGTTACTGGTGTGTATTACTTATTACTTTTTTCTTTTTTTTTTTTAAGGGCCAATCTGTGCCCCAGTGGAACTTTAATGTATTTGGTAGATTCGTTCCTCATTAGTATGCTGTATTTGTTTGCACCAAAAAAAAAACGTTTTGCAGAATGCTGCACTATAAGCCTGCCTCCTTAGCTACACCCTTTAATGCCAGGAAGACTTCCTTATTGTGGTGTAGACACAGTCAATAGCACATGGTGAGCGGCTTTTAATTTACAACCTGGCTGCAGACCGTGAAACTAAAAGCAGGTAGTGACATCCTTACTATATAGTAAAAAGCTTAATTGTGAGGTACGTGCACCCACCCCAGTGAACACACGGTGGAGCGCTGAAAAATATTTCCACATACCCTCACTATATGGGTGAGAAATATCCTATATTGAAAAATACTAACATAGAGTAGTATATCCAGTATAGTGTATATGACCATCCATGTATATATAGAGTGTACACTCACATGTAGCTGAGCCACATAAGACTGGCTCAGATCACTTTAGTGGTTGTGTACTACGGTGACACTGTCCCTCTTCCTCTGAGTCTTTGATGTGCTTGTAATACACAAAAACATAAGAGAGGATCTAGTGTAATAGGTCCAAAATAGAAGAAAGTGCATATATGTGCGGTTGCAATCTGCTCACCTTATTCAGAGCCCATAAACCTCGGCTCTGAATTAGTAGACTTGTTTGTCTATAAAGGGGACGCATACACCCTTCTTTGTAGCAGGGACAAGGTAGTGGAGTCTCCAAGTAGGATACAAATCTAGGTTTATCCCGGGTTATATATTAAGGATACAAGTTTATATATTCCTACTATCTATTTAGGTTTATCTTGTGCCTTATATCTACCATATATATATATATATATTTGTTTAGATACTAGGTTATTATTCTGGACTAGTACTCTCAATAATACACAATATCCAGCGCACTCACCTATCCACTAAACAGCAACTTCAATGTTAAAAGATTTTTTTATTTTTTTAAAAAAAACACCTAATCTAAACAAAAATAATGGGGGCTTAGTTATATTATATGATCATACATTGCATAAGCCTGCCACAACATCAATGTACCCCATCTTTGGCAGGTCCTACACTAACAGCCTAATTTCTGCTCTTCTGGACTAGTACTCTCAATAGACTGATATTAATATTGTGGGGGAAGTAGATACTACTTGGCATTTTAGGCTATTAGCCTCTAACGCAAGAAATACTATTCCGTTCTTAGTAGTTATTAACCTTACAGGTTAGGTTTTACCTGGATAGATTTTTTTTTTTTACCTGGATAGAAGCCACTGTATAGCAGCCTTTATAATATATATGGTCTAGTGGAGTTCCCTTACACTGAGAGCCAATTTACTAAAGCTACTTTTTTATACATTTGAACTCTGTCTGGATATAGTTCTTTTTAGCTGCTACATATATGTAGACATAGGGGCAGACCTAACTAGGTTGTTGTCTTTATTTGTTTTTGGTGTATATTGTTTTATGTCAAGATCTCATTGGGTATTCAACATCTACCTATCTGCAGGACTTCTATCATTGTGTAGATATCATAACGACGACTACTCTTATTTCTAGGTGATACAGTTAATATCACTCTCTTTTGTTGAGAATCACTGTATCTATATTTTTATGTTTGTTTTTTCTGTTTATTACAATATACTTAAAACAAAACAAATGTATATAAAAACCTTCCAAGGAGCTCCCGAGACCCATTTTGCTGCCGTAGCGGAGTTTTCAATTGGTATAACTACCCAGGTATACCTTCCTGCCTTTAAATGTTCAGAAATTTTCTTATTGGTCCGTTTCATACGTTGTACGCCAATCCTCACTTTTCAGGAAGTGTTTAGGACAAGGCTGACAAATGCCAGATCGCCATGACGACTGGAAATTTTGTCCTGGCCCCTTGGTATTTGTCAGCCCATTCATTCTGAGGCAGGCAGCCAGCTGAGGGAGACGGGAGGCTGTGTGGAAGAGGCGGGGAAAGCAAGCTGTAATCTTCTTGCTCTTCTCTGATGTGACATCAGTCTGACCCCAGCATCACTAAATGGCGCGTGAGAGAGCAGAGCCAGAAGAACTAGATTATTACTAGACCCCATGGAAAGCCGACCCACTCCAGCTCTCCGAAAGGTAGGGTGGACTTAAATTGAATTAAAACAAATAATAAGAAAAGCTACAATTTCTGGGGAAATTGTGTGACGTATTCTTGCCTCCACCAGTAGTCTACAACTGAAGTGGGCGGAGTAACTGGGTGGAGTGGCTTGAGTAACTGTTGTGTGGTTGGAGTAGCTGGAGTAACTGTGGAAAGGTTGGAGTGTGGTTCACTCACTCTACAGAGAAGAGCTTTCAAATCTTTCAAATCCCTCGAACATTCAGCCAACAGGAACTAATAGATTTCAAATAGGGCAGAGAAGAGCGGTTAAAAACAAACTGCTCCAAATTGCTCACTTCACTGGCGGTTGCCATCTTCAAACGGTCGTATTCTTAAAACTATAAATCCTACAGTGAAGAGCTTTATATTGTGAGAATCACAAGACCCAGACCATATGCATAGTATGTCTCTGAAATATTAAAAATGAAGACACAGTCGCAGTTTAGATATTGGCCTTCAAATTTGAGGTGGCTAGAGTGGAGTTTCAATAAATGTCAATAGACGGCGTAAGTTGCAAACAAATGGTCATATTTTGAAAACTATCAGGACTATGGCTTAGCCGTGGACATGATTAGTGGCAACAGGGATAGCTGAATGTTTTGATATAAGATTTGTGTAGGTGGGCTTGAAAATGAGGGAGTGGTGGCAGTTTAGAAATCATGTCCTGATTTTTCAGCTTTTGTCAGCTCCCACTCTAGTTTTGAACATTTTTTTTTTATTTAATTCTTTTTATTACAATTTTTCATGAAAATATTAATAGACAAAGACAACATCCATGGGAGGGAATCTTACAGAAAAGAAAATAAGGATTCCCCCCTATTAAACATACATAAAAACAATTTTCTATTTCGAATTTCATCCATAAGCCGTCTAGGACATAATCTGGGAACACCTACATCCCCTCAGCTGCATATCGTAGTCCAAAAACGGCCTGTAGAAAACCTTATAGATGTATTAAACAAGAAAAGAAACAAAGACATAAGACAAAACTGGTCGTATGTGTTGCAGATCTAAAACCACCTTTTAAGGAAAAGAGATAGCGAAATAAGGCAAAGGCGTCAAATGATAGAACCCCCACTGAGAACACCATACCCACCGCAAGGAAGTCGTACAGGTACCCCACTAGATCATTTACCTTAAAGCCTCTTAATTTTTTGGACAAGACTAGAATAAAATGTCAAAGCCTTCAAATTAGAATATTCTCTCATAGATATTAATCCCTTTTCCATCTCAACTTGGAATAAAAGTTGTGCTTTAACTTGATCTCTCGTGGGAATATCAGAACTTTTCCAAAATCTAGCAATTAATATTTTAGCAGCCATTAAGCAATGTATGATCACAATATCAAAATTATCCTTTATTTCTGAGCCCAAAAGATGGAGTAGAGCGATTTCCGGTTTGAATTCCAAATAGGAACCTCCCAATCTATTTATAAATTCATATGTAATCATCCAGAGAGATTTGATTCGATGGCAGGACCACCATATATGAACCATTGAGCCATCAAGATGAAAACATCGCCAACAATTAGACGGGTTAGTAATAGAAATTTTAGCAAGTCTAATAGGAACCAAATACCATCTATACAGCACCTTTATAAAGGTCTCTAAAATATTCAAACAATGAATAATTTTTTTGGTCCTCACAAAGGATTTACACCAGTTATTAAAAGGAATAGAAATTGCTAACTCGGTTTCCCATTTAGTTAAAGCTTTAGGGGTGAGAGGAGTCCCTATCATCTTTATTAATTCGACTGCAATAGAGAAAACCCTTTTGACAGGATCCCCCGAAAAAAGTTTCCTGAACATTATTCCAAGTCGGCCTTCTAAAACCAATATATTATCTTTCAGATAGCTCTTAATACGAAGGAAGTTAAATAGGTCTCTAGAGGGTAAATCTAGCCAATTTTTCAAAACATCAAAACTTTTTAGTTGATGGTCCTTATAGAGATCTTTTATCTTATAGTTAAAATCTTTATACCAATTTGACAGGTTTATCTCCAGCATGAAACTTTCCAACGACCTCAGACTCAAATTCTCATATATTTTTCTGTTAATATTCAACTTCTTCTTTATAGACGTCCATTCTTTTAATGTCTGTAATAAGGTCGAAGGACAGTGAGAACCCATTTCACACAGATGCCTGTTCTGACTTGCCTCTCTCCATAAAAGAAATTCAAGGTTATCTAAACCAAGTCTGGCTGCTTCGATTTTATACCAGGCTTGGTCTATAGAGTTGGTTAATTGTAATTTACTGGCATGAACTAGTATATTAGCCTGATAAATTTGATTAGCAAGGGGGTAACCCAACCCCCCCTGGAAGGCCTTCCTTGAAAGATTGTAAGTACTAATTCTTGGTCTCTTCCCTCTCCAGATATACGCTGTAATACTAGATTGCAACATATTCAGCCAATAACTCGAAATCGAGAGAGAGAGCATGCTAAATAAATAAGCCCATTTAGGTATTATATAAGCTTTAATGGTATTTATCCTTCCCCACCAGGAAATTTCATGCACTCTCCATTCCTTTAACAACATATTAGTCTCTTTTAACAACTTCAAGAAATTGGTTTCCATAGTCCGACTTATCTCTGCCGTTATAGTTACCCCCAAATATATAAACTCTTTTTTTTGTCCATTTAAAATCAAAATCTCTCTTTAGGGATAATAAATTATCTTTATGAATATTAATCGACATGGCTATTGTTTTATTCGTATTCAATTTATAATTTGAAACACTACTATATTTATTAAATTCTTGCATTAAGTACGGAAGAGAAACCAGAGGGTCAGTAATAGAAATTAAAATATCATCAGCATATAGACATATCTTCCATTCATCAGATTGAGTTCCAATACCTTTAATCCCAGGATTTTGTCTAATATTATTTGCTAGTGGTTCAATTGACAAGATATATAATAAAGGTGAGAGAGGGCACCCCTGTCTCGTCCCATTTTTAATATTAAACCAATCTGAACATAAATCGCGGGCTACTATACGAGCAGAAGGGTTTGAATATATAGCTCCCACCGCACTCAGGAACCATCCGTCAAAACCAAACTGTATCAAAGTCTTATTCAAAAACCCCCATCCGACCCTGTCGAAGGCCTTTTCTGCATCCACCGACAGGGTCAGAAGGGGGGTTCCCTCAACTTGAGCCCATTCTATAATATCTAGAACCCTACGAGTATTATTAGAGGAGTGTCTTCCCTGCATGAAGCCTATCTGGTCCCTGTGTATGAGTGATGGCAAAACTATTTTCAAACGTTCCGCTAAAATTGCGGCATAAAGTTTCATATCAACATTAACCAGAGAGATAGGACGATAATTACTCACATCATCTGGATTTTTACCCTGTTTCAAAATTGGAGTGATATGAGCTCTTAATAGATCTTGAGATGCATTCCCTTTAGTTGCCAGTTCGTTAAAGGTGTCAGTTAACAACGGGATTAATTGTCTCTTAAAAACCTTAAAAAACAAATTTGTATACCCGTCCGGTCCAGGAGCTTTACTGTTAACAAGTTTATCAATTACCAGTTCCACTTCGTGAGAAGATATATTTCCATTAATTTTCACCCTCTGGTCATTAGATAATTTAAACAGATTAGAATTTTTCAAATAGCTATCCAGCACATCTTGGTCAGGACATTTTATTCAAATTATAAAGTTTTTGATAAAACACTCTAAATCTATTGGCAATTTCTTCAGGCTTATAAAAATGATCATTCCCTTCTCTTAGCTTAGATATCTTATGATCTGTCATCTTTTTCTTTAATTTATTTGTTAGGACTGAGTCTACCCGATTATTCTTATAATAATATTTAATATTTAACTTGTTTAAATTCCGTTCTACCCTAATCTTAATCTGTTCATTTATCTTTTCCTGGTAGAGTTTAATTGCTAAAGCTCTATCGTCAGAATAAACTTGTTTATTGGCTTTAGAGAGATTATAAAATTGGATATAAAGATCCGACAAAATTTTATCTACATTTCTATTTTGAAAACTTGAAAGTTTTATCCAATGACCCCTTATGACTGCTTTACACGAGGACCATAGACATTCTTTAGATACCTCCTCAGAGGAATTCTCCTTAATGAAGAAATCGATTATCTTCTCTATATGTTCTACATTTGCTTTATTTTTTAGCAGATAATCTGCTAATTTCCAAATCTGAGGAGGTCGCTTGTTATTTTCCATCAAGTCTACAATTACCATATCATGGTCTGACCACGTGTTTTCAATGATAGTAATTGAGAAGATTGCCTGAACTGATTTTAAATTACCCAAAATCATGTCTATCCGAGCAGCCGAATTATGGGGAATAGATCTATGCGTAAAATTTCTGTCATTAGGGTGGAACAGTCTCCAACAATCAAACAATTCCGCTTTCTTAATCACTCTAGTTAAGGATGCCGCTTGCCTTTTAAGAGATTTATCTATCCTCTGATTTTTAGCCAATTGCTTGTCCCAAGAGGCATCAAAGATGCAATTAAAGTCGCCTGCAAAAATAATTCTCCCTTTTTTAACCTGTTCTACCAAACCTAAAATTTTCGTCAAAGTTTTGATTGGATCTTTATTAGGTAAATAAACATTGACCAAAGTATAATCCAGCCCATTCAATTGACCCACCAGAATAATAAATCTCCCTTCCGGGTCTAAATAGTTATAACTACAATCAAAGAAAACTTCTCTAGAAAAAATAATAGATACACCACATTTCTTTTTTCCTTTTAAAGAAGCGGAATAAATCACCGGGTATTTTTAGTTTTGAACATTTTGCCATTCATTCCTATAGGACCAATTTTGCCACAAGAACGACGATATTCCGTGAACCATTCGGCGAAACGTTCCACAAAGTAATAGCAATCCAATCGGGGAATAAAAACGCACGTTTCGGTATATTACTGTCTATGTAGTGTAAAAACTGTGGGAGGAGTTAGGGTGGTAAATGTGGCTATAATAAGAATAAGAATAATATATATGTGAGATAACATTAAGTGGTCTTGCTATGCAAGAACACTTAACTAGAAAAGCTACAATTTCTGGGGAAATTGTGTGAAGTGTTCTTGCCTCCACCAGTAGTCTACAACTAGGGATCAAGCGGTATTCGGTATTTTCGGCAATATCGGTATCAGCCACTAAAGATACCGATATTGATAGAGTGAGAAATGCATTTCAACTTTTTATTTATATAGCACATTTAATTGCAACGTTGTTGCCCAAGTGCTTCACACTTACATTAAAACATACATTTATAAAAACATTAGCAGGTGATGTGGAATCAATCAATCAATCAATCAATTGATTATCTTGCGTATCTGCCCCCGGCCAAATTTAAAAAGATGCGTGCACGCTCCTGAAGTAATTCACACCAGACAAAGGTTTTGGGTTAATGAAAAACTTGAGGAATGTTTATTCGGGGGGAGCGGCATGCCCCTTATAAAGCAAAATTACATCATATGCATTGTCAGAGATAACATGGAATAATACATCAATAATTGGTTAGGTGTTAAGTGGTTCATTTAGTGCCCTTCCTACCGGGTGTGATGTCACTGGTATCTTGGAGGTCTTTCCCCAGATTCCAGCGCCATCTTGTTAATGAGGGTGTTAGTCGATGTCAAAGGGAAACTCCCTAGTGGCCATCTTAGGTAAATCACATATAAGGTTGAATAATGCTGATTGTGGTTATGCTGAGTAAATAGGCATTTTATTAATATGAATTGGGTTAATATTTTTCTCCACAACAGTCCCCCCTTAAAATGACTATTTACTAAAGAGACAACTACTAACTGACCCTAACAATGTCCCTACTTGGCTGCAGCTCATCTGTCTGAACAAGCCTCGAATGCTTCACTGCACGGGTATCCCGTAGTGGCTAACCCACTACATCTCCCGCGTCAGACTCCTACCCGTGGAGACAGACGCTGTCCCTATAAAGAAGTCGTTGTCCTTTTGAGGTGGTGGGACTGAAGAGGTGTGTGCGGGGTGTCACAGTCTATATCGTCAATATCTTGATGTGGGAATGTAGGTGTGGTGCGGTCAATGGTCTGATCTACAGTCTTTTGTAAGTACCTTTGCACCCAGGGCATCACGCAGCAAACCAGGAAGAGGAGGAGAATCACTACTGTAAGAACTGCCATACCGACTTGAAAGAGAACTCTCTGCCATCCACTTGTCCATCCCAACCATCTGTCCCGTGAATTGGAGACCCCTGAGTTCTTTTTTAATTCGTCAGAGAGACTTTCTAATTTCTCTATGGCCATGGTTACTTTACCATTGGGGCCTGTATTATCTGGAATGAAGGTACAGCATGTCATAGTGTCGGGGAGTATTTTACACACACACCCCTTTTCTGGTAGGATCATATCTAAAGCCATTCGATTCTGGAATGTCATTTGGGAGGTAGCCTGCAATTGTTCTGCCAAGCCTTGAAGGGCATCTCTAGTATAATTGACAAAACATTGCTCATTATAATAGATATAATGAATCCAGTTAACACTCTTGTTAGCGGTGATGAGTGGGATCAAGGATTCGAATCCTTCCGCAACCTCATCTCTGGCCTTGAACTCGTTTGGTACCTCCCTTGGTACACCTATGGCATCGATATATATATATGTGGGTCAAAACTACCTTGAATAGGGGTTTCTCTTTTTATCCTGAAGTACGTGTGTGGGGAATCAAGTGGGCCTTGGTGGTTATCAGAAATTATATGTATAGGTATGATGGCTTTGGTCAGAGTGCATTCTGCCCACCACAGGCCAGTCATTTTGGATCTGAGTTGCATATCATCACATAGCCAATAAATGTCTCCCAAGGACTTGACTTGATTTACCAATAAGGTAGTGGGAGGTGTCTGATAGGTGGCACAGTAGCCGGGAGGGAAACTACCCACAAATTTACCTGTGGCTCCATGTATAGTGTAGCAAGTGTAATTACCTGGATACACAGTGATTCCATCAGGTGGCCTGAGATTCCCTTGAGTTATTGGATATACCTTTTTCCATGATTCACATACTGATGAGTTTGTGGCTGATTGTACATATTGGCTTAGAAAACACATCTCAACATCGGGGGAGAGATTAAAAGGCACTGTACCCAGATGGGGTCTGGCCCCGCCACAGACATAACAGTTAGTTTTATTGTGTGAATTAGCATTATACCTCATCCACTCAAGCCATAGATTGGTATCTGAAAAACCGGTCTCCACAGCCATAATGTCCTCGAATGTAGGATTGGCAATTGCCACCATGTCCTTAAGAGTTTTAATGTGTGGTTTTAGAGGGTTAGTGGTCATGTGTGTAGAGTCTACCCAGTCAG